TTTTTACCAAATGAGAACAGTAGTTATACTTTCACGTATGTCTTCTATGAAATATATTTGGATTTATAAGAGCATCGAAAGTCGATGTGAAAAATTCACGCTGCACAAGTAGTCATTTTTACAGATTGCAGTTTTCGCAGGCAGCTGGAAAAAGGTTCGTTCAAAAGCCGGTATATCGAAGTAACTGAAATATCTTGGGATTATGTTACACGGAAATTAATATCACAACTCTACTTAAGTAATTTTTTCGAGTCCAAAAAGCATTTCAGAATTTCGGCTAGCATTTAATGAGTTAGCATATCTGCTACACTTCCTGAGGGAGCTACAGAGGGTCTGACTTGGCAGGTCTCGCACTGTCGCCTGAATTCACTGTTTGAGGCTGTTTCTTTCAGCATTTATGTTAAGTGGAGCCGGAAACGGTAAGGCGATAGGTCGATCAGCCATATTGTTTTTGCATACACCCAAGAGCTCCCACTCGATCACCCCAAAAAGGGTTATGGAAAACATACAATGCAGGTGAAATTCGATTTCAGCCATCTTGCGATTACTCTTCATTCGTTAATTTTTATTTTCCTGTGCAGTTATGCGCATCTCGCTTGTGCCCTTTTTACGGCTCGGTGACATTTATTAATATTTACACCCTCGCCCAAAAAATGCAACCTCCGAACAGTTAGTTGGGGGCAGCTGGTGAGCTTTCGAGGTTAATCTCTGTCCTACATAGTGGGCAGTTTAGATCAGAGAGTTTGCGATATAAACAGCTGAGCCTTCTACGAACTATGCAATCGAGGATGTATGCACATTTCAACACTATTATTCTTCCGAAGTCATTGTGGTTGTCCGCAGAGGCAAACGCGTGGTGTACAAGTGAAGCAAATCACTGAATTACCAGGTACACGCACTGAGCCAGGAAAACTGTTAAATGATGGCTGAAACCATAAGATACAAAGGTTTAGTAGAGGGCCGCTCACCGATCATTTTTACGAAACTCACTCGTTCTCTTGTGCCTTATTGGCCCTCTCTCGAACCCAACTATGAGCCGCACAGTGGCGTATGATAGAGGCAGAATGTTATGACTTCCTTGTCTTTGTCGGTAATAACACTCTGCATATACAAGGGTGTGGCTTTCAGGGCACTCGTTTTGACCGTCTAGGGGTTTAATACGAGTGCAAATGAGCCTGCCTGGTTGAACTTCTAAGTGTATGACAGTCATTTAGATCTAGAGGCCACGGATTCAACAGAGTAGGATTAAGCGACTCATGCAAATGGGAACAGGATGTGTATCTAGGCAGTCCAAGGGGATGTAGGATCTGTCCGTGCTTAAGCAGATGCCAAAGATTCAGGAAGGAGCTGACTGGTCTTCCCTGACGAAAAGCCTAATTGTCCGTGCTAAATGAGGGCACTACAGATGCCGCTAGTAGCCTATGTGTTCGGAGGCTTCGCGGTCTAAAGACCACAGAAACGTCACCATAATTTATACAATGCGTGTGCCAGATTTGACTTCTCAGTGTCCATAAAGCATTCCGCTGTTGATCCATGACCGTTCGTCCTGCATATATGTACATATATGCAGGATAACTTTACCGAAAAAGAAAAGGGAGACTGGAACGGCCATTTCTGGCTTATTAGCCGTTGCAAACAGTCATACCCAACTCCGAAGTGTAGAACACCTGGAGCTCGAACTCGCAGGTTGTTAGTGGAGGGCTCAATGTCGCTCCCTATTTTCGCTGTTCATTAAAATCCTGGTCAAGTGGTTGTTGTGGACGAGGAGGTGTAGTGGTACGCCCAAGTGGAGATCCGGCCATGCCAGCCACCGGCGCCCTCTCCCACCTCCAGTCTTCTTGACTATGTCTTGACACCGGATCCAGGTGGCGGAGGAGGGAATGGTGCGGTAGATGCTGCGCAAGTCTGTTGCTACCATAAACTAATTCATGCGAAGTCACCGTGTCTCCTCTCACCCTGCGGTGGAGCACACGGTAGTCACCGTCGGTGACGACGGTCGATCCGTCCAACCCGCCTCGTGAGGGCCTGCTGCATGCTGTGGGAACCAGATTATGCCTGGCACTTGCCGACGGGCTGCCTAGATCTCTCGGCCACTTCACCCGAAACCGCCCTTCGACTGTCTCGCCGCTGGCTCTGGATGGTTGAGGGAGAAGGGAACAGCGCGGCAGATGCAGCCGAATCCTGCCTCAGCGTACACTACTTCGCGCTCAAGTGATTGGCGTTCCGCTCGCACGGTAAGGTACACGGTGGACGTTCTCGCTCGCAACGGTCGACCATGTGCATGAACATCACAACCACCGCGATTAGTCCTAGTGAGAACAGGCCAAGTTTTTTCCTTAAACCCCTTTCATCAGTGTCCAAGGTCTCATCCCCAGTCAACGCAACCCGAAATCCACCTACGCGGCGTGGCTGTAGATGACGACTGCAGATCGAGGGCAGCAGCCTTTCGTTTGCGCGCCAAGGTGCATGCCCTGGGTCTGCGCGCCTTACCTGGAGGGGTTCTCTCGCAGCTATCAGCATTTCCGAAAGCACAGAGGGTCCTTTCACCACACGGTTGAGGACTTACTGCCTGTTGCCGAAACTTCCGTCTGACCTGCTGTCTCTACGTGCTCACGTCCACAAATTCCCAAACTCAATTTTGAGTCATGTAGAGGACTCTTTTACTTGTCGTAGATATCCGTTTTTCCTGCGGAGTGCGCTTGAAATGGTTGCACCCCTTATTTAAACATGTTTGCTCAGAATGCAGATTTGTCGGAGTCTCGGTCGAATCCGCTCTGCCTGCCTGCTACACTTAACGAATGATGGTATCACTGTTACTTTGCACAATCATAGGTCTTTCATCAACTTGCTTTATCATCAGACATCAAGCCAATTCTACTCAACACCTCCCTAAGATGCTACCAGGTCTTTTCACTCTTGAAATACAACATCTGGATCTTGTAAACCGTTGAGCTTTGTCTTCACCGTATCAGATTTTCCGCACAAATGAAAACCCTTATGCCCCCTAGACTCGCAAAATAGGTAGTGAATTCTTTACCCGCCATTTGAGCCCCCTGGTGTGTAATCTGCCGCTCGATCCGAACTCCACACACTCATTCGTGGCAATCAAATCGCCTGCAGTTCTGTAGGTCATCGGAGCGTGCGTGCTAATTGGCTCATAAGGTGACAGCAGAATAAAATTACAACATTTCGGCAGCATCTCGCGTCTGCTCTGCTATATACCCGACATGTCAATCTCACAGGCACAGTTATTCGAAGATGACTTTCCCCTAGTTCGTTGCTGCCCAACCCTCAACGAGATTCGCATTGCTGAGGAGATGAAAGACCTCACCATAGAGGTAGCTACTTCTGATGTTGTACTGCTCATTACATTGACTTCGGCGTGTTAGGCACAGAACGGTGCTCTTCTGCACGCCCATAGGATCATAGTGGCGGCCCGGATTCCCTCTCTGCGAGCGACACTGAGAGGACCCCTCGGGCTAGAGAGCATGGTTCTCAGATGGCCGTCAGTGCCTTTAAGGTAATTCAATGCTCGCACTTTGTTCATGATTACTGATCATGCTAGCATCGCAGCCCTTCTCATCGACTACGTCTATACCGGCCAAGTGGAGATGACGCAAGCCAATGCCAAAGGTTTGGTAATGCTTGCACGGATTCTTGACCTTCCTTTCCTGGAACACTGGGGAGCGGAATTTATGGCCAGCAGGTAAATCTCCTTCCGATACTCCTATTCACCTGTCCGCCATAAAGTGTTAATTCGGAAAATCTGGCAGTCACGTGGGACTTTGCCAGGTCTCTGAATATTCGAGTACTGTCGGAAGCCTGCATCCACCACATGAAAACGCACTTTGAAAGTTTCGTCTGCAGTGATCTTTTTGTTCGGCTGCCAGCCGACACCGTGCTCGCATTGTTGCGAAGCGAAGACCTAGCGATTGAATCCGAGGAGGAGGTGTTTGAGGCTATTTCACGTTGGGTAAGTCCATGTGTGGACGGCGACAGGGAGAAGCTGACACTACACGCTGCGACGATGCTGAGACATGTTCAGTGGCATCGGACGACTGTTCAGTTCCGCAAACGTCTGATGGAGTCTCATCCAATATTTCAGAATAGCCTCGAGTTTGCGTAAGTATATGACACCCAAAATCATATGGAAGTCAATTTCTGGTTCTAGTTGAGCAGTGGATTGGCGCTGAGGGTGGGAACAAGCCACCATGTCCCTTTAACATACTTAGTCGCCGCATGAGTCCGCCTCAGTCATTCGTAATCTACGGAATGGAGAAAAATGAGAACAAGTGGTCGGTCTTCCTTTTTGATTCGAGCCTGCGAAAGGCGGAAAGAATAGGTTTCGTGGGACTACGCTATGGTGCCTCTTTCAGCGTCGTGGGGGGTAAGTTGCCGGAGTTTCGCTCAAAGTGCCACTTGAAATACGCATGTTTGATAAATTTCTGCATACACGTCTCACATCGACGCACCAAATTTCAAAATTTTTCATATTGCTGCAATTGCTGCATTTAAGTTTAAGGCCTCACATCTGTCCCTAGTAAAACAATCCATTTCAAATTTTAAATTTTCGGCAAATAGAACATTTTAGTGGATATGGTCCCCCTGTTTCCTAGATTTTCCTTGACGTCAATTTCATCAATATCAGAACGTTCTATTTTGAAAATATGGGGTGCCAAGGCATTTATATGAAGAACTGTACGATTTTGGTAGTAAGTAATAAATACAAAACAGGCTACCTTTTCCGGAAATATGACGAATCACAAACCTAAGTCGATGTCGAGATGTTTAGCGACTGCTTATTTTTAGAAAATTTTCACCACTTGTCTCCCTAGGAAAGCGATTCTAAAAATCCCCGGTAATTATATAGCAATTTTCTTAAATTTACTGGCCATCGCCTATTTTGGCAGACAGGATCAGGAATAAGTATATCGTACAACGCAAAGTATCTTTAGAACAACAATAAATATGGCCAGTATTACAAAACAGCATGATTATTAAATTTCCTCAAAAAATACCTTTGATTATATCACTCACTGTTTCTCCTGTTTACCCAGACACTATTTAAAAAGGTTGCCGTGTCACATTTTGAGCCTGCTTTCCCAACTCGTCGCGGAACCTGCGGCGAACGCATAAAGTAACGGCTAACTTCTTAACCGAACCGAACAAAAGACACCTTGTTTACCTTCATTTTGTGCCAATACGCGTGCATTGCGCTCTGTCTGCCCGCAGAGCTTGGACACGTGGATCATCGGTTGTCCTTGAAAATTGTCTGTGTTCCAGCCTCCAATCTCTGTTGTTGTTGGTCAAAAACCTGGTTATTTTTTATGTGGACCAGGGGGTGTGGAGTGGAACGCCGAGGTGTGAGCTAGGCCGTGACATCCGCCTGCGCCCTCCCCCGTTTCCGGTTTTCTTGACTCTGTCTTGACACCGGACTCAGGCGGGGGAGGAGAGAGTGTGATAGATGCGGCGCAAGTCAACTCGCACAATAAACCCCGCGCAAGTCACCGCCCCTGCTATCAGCCTGCTGTGAAGCACACGGTGGGCATCGTCGAAGCCGACGGTCGAACTCTCGTGTGTGTGTGTGTGTGTGTGTGTGTGTGTGTGTGCGTGTGTGTGTGTGTGTGCGTGTTTGTGTTCAGTCCACTCAGTCAGCCCAGTCGTGTGTGTTTGTGTGGAGTAGCGGACTGGTGGGCTGAGAGCCAAGCTGTCACGGCTCCTTCTTGAGGTGACCTCTGGCACTCTCACGCACGTGAGGGGTGTATGCGTATTCGTGAGTAGTGTCTCTCAGTCGACGACTGACTGATTGCCCAGCCCTTGAAGAGTGACGGTCCAGGCTAAATGCTGGGCTGAATGTCACCCGTCTGGACCTCAAGATATGTAAGCACCTTCCATGTTGTGATCAGCAAAGTATGGCCATCCCAGCCCTGGAGTGCGCTGGCAGTTCTCTGGCACCTAATTCCCTGCCGGTAGATGCGCTTGCCCTTCCGCTGGGTTTTCAGATGGTGAAAATGGCTGTCCAATCGTCCTCGTTTATCTGACCCCTTTTGGCGCCTGCACACTCTCCCACCTCCGGACTTCTTAGCTATTTCTTGACACCTGGCCCAGGTGGAGGAGAAGGAGAAAGTGCGGTAGATGTTGTGCAAGTCCACCCTCACTAAAAACTAATTCACGCGAAAGTCACCATATCTGCTTTACCTTGCTCTGGAGCACACGGTGGACATCGTCGGACACGACGGTCGGACTGCCGTGTATGTGTATGTGTGTGTGTGTGTGTGATTGTGCCCTCCAAACGGGCGACGTGTTAGATGCGCTGGACCAAGACGGAGGCCACATCGCATTCTGGCAGGCGCTATCTGTGCGCAATAGCAAATGCCAGCATCTAGGGTGTGCGTTGGCAGACCCTGTTATCGGCGGTCATTGCACAGACTGGGATCACTACCACCACCCCATTGTTTTGTGGTCAAAATCCTGGTCATTTGTGTGTGGACCAGGGGGTGCGGAGTGGAGCGCCAAGGCGAGGATCCGTCCGAGCCATCCACCTGCGGCCTCCCTCGTCTCCGGTCTTCTTGACTCTGTCTTGACACTGGGCTCAGGCGGGGGAGCAGGAGAGAGTGTAGGTAGATGCAGCGCAAGTCTACTGGCACTATAAACCCCAGCGAAAGTCACCGTCCCTGCTCCCACCATCTGCTGTGAGGCACACGGTGGACATCGTCTAAATCAACGGTCGAACTATTGCGTGTGCGTGATGTACCACTTGACGTGTCCATAGACGCAAGTCAGATCTCCGAACACTTCGAGAATTTTTGGTTTTTGCAAACAGCAAAAATGTGCATTCTAGCCAACACATCTGCATCCAATAAGCGTGAGTCTACTCGAGTGGGATAGTCTTGCTTCCGTCTCGTTAACTGGTGTCCATGAATACGAATGCAAGTAAATTTAGGCAGAATGTTATCACCGACGAAGACAAGGGAGGTTCTCTTGTCTTTGTCGGTAATAACACTCTGCCTATATCATGCGCTGCTGTGCGGCTGCTGGTTGGGCTCGAGAGAGAGCCCATAAGACACAACGGAATGAGTGAGTTCCGTAAGAACGGTCGGTGAGCGTCCCCTACCTTCAGACATATGTCCATTTCAGGGTAAAAACTTAAAAAGCTAGGTTCTTGCTCTTCGACAACTTCGTTGGTCACAGCAGTGGATGCTAGTCCTCTTCAGTAAGTCGGCGACAGGGCTCCGTTTGTAAATGACAAAACGATTTCTTTCTTGTTTTCAAAAAATTGTGTGCGCTCTTAATTGTGAGAAGTTTGGTTATCAAGTGACCGCCATCCTTTGCAGATACGAGGACTTTAGGAAATGTGAACTGTCCACTAACCTTGGCTTTCAAAGTAAATTCAACTTCTCAAACGAAGAGGTTAGAATTCGCTTTCGGCAAATTAGGTTGATCCTTTTTCACGACAGCAATGGAATCAACTGCATCGCGCTTTTCCAATATCAAGCAAATCGTGGGAAGAACCGTTGTTTCCAGCATCTACGCAATTTCTTCCTTAGAATACCAAAAATGTGTTTGTGCATTGGTTTATGCACATGAATCAAATTGAAAAAAACAAGTTTATACTGCCTGAGTACACTTCCATACTATGTTTAGTAAGTTATCACGAGTTACGCCACTTAAGTAATCGTCCGCCGGCTTTCTGTTTTTCTTGACATCTGTCTTCATCTTTATAAAATTCCTGATTATTGCCAATTTGTATTCGTATTTTTTTCTTTCATTGCACTTCGAAAGAGAGCCTTTTCGCAGTTGGCGGATGGAATGAGAATCAGTATGCCTCCAAAGATGTCAATGAGTTTCTGGTAAGGGAACAAAGCTGGCGCCAACGACCCTCTCTCATAGTTCCGCGTTTTGATCACGCAGCTGCAGTCGTCAGCGTTCACACTGGAGACAATGAAGGGAAAGCAAATACCCTGATTGGTATTTTTGGTGGATCCGTTAGGCGCGGGGACACTTATAGACGCCTCCGTTGTTGCGAAGTTTATGACGTGAACCGCGACAGGTGGGAATATTTATGATGCACCTTTCCGATTTTTTTAAAAAAAATTATCGTTAATTCACAATTTCCTGCTTTGCATCTCCCTCCCGCGGCCTCATCAGATGGCATAAATTGCCCAATCTGCGGGAGAAGAGGTGTGGCGCAGCTGCTGCCGTCCTACCCGACGACAATCGAGTCTTCCTGTTTGGCGGTCGCAGTGACGCCGGCGTGAGTGCGTCAGTGGAGTTCTGCCAATTGCGCACACTTTGGCCAGAAGCATCGACCTTTGAGATAGACAGGAACTTCTGGCTACCGGCTGCCCCCATGAGAACTGCGCGGGCCTTCCTTGCAGCTGCGCACTTCAGAGGAAGAATCATTGTCGCCGGCGGATGGGATTACCGGGAGGATGTCAACGTTGTAGAAATGTTTTCACCACCGGACGCCGTGCGCCCCCTCGGCCAATGGACTGAGCTTGCTGCAATGAAACAGCCTCGCGCGTTTTCTGCTATTCTAACCTCTGTCGACTCGGTCTTTGTCCTTGGTAAGGACAGTTAGCTCGGTTAGTGCATGCCACAGAGCCTTAGAAAGCCAAATAGCCATATGCATTTATGATATTACTGTTTGGACAATGGCTACGAATAATATATAATGCTGTCTGCAAATAACCTGACACGATGTGAGTGGTTTGTAGAGCTATAAGGGCTTTTTAGTGTAAAGATTGCCTGTTATTCTGAGCAACTCAGCTTCTATTGAATTTTCAAAGAGGTCTAATTATAAATACTCACCGTTTTTAGGTGGAGGAGTGAAACCACGAAACACTGTGGAGCGTTTTACTGCGCCTGATGATTCAGCTTATTTTGACAATGACTTGACATCTTGGATCTGGTCGTCGGAAGATTCGATTGGAGCGTTTGAGGAGATCATTGGAGCTGTATCCATGCGCATTTAAGTCTTACTGCTCTCGATTGTATTTTCCAGACTCTTTAGTTTGTCACGAATCA